AGTCACACAGGTGAACTACTTGACTAATTCCAGTACAGAACCTATAGGATGTTGCGCATGCGCGACTGAACGAATCACTCCCCGAGACGACTCGTTCTTCCCGAGTCACATTAAAGATTTGTTCAAAACGAACGAATCGTTCAAGAACGACCCAACACTACAATACAAGCCCTCGCGCGCACATGATCACTTTAGTCTTTGCAACTTGGGATCTTATCTATTCACCAAGAGCTTGTAACACTCCAAAGAGAAAGGAAAACTTGAAATCGCATCATATGACCCCTTTAAAGAACATTTTTAAATAGTAGAGGACACTTTGGACCTCACAAGTATAGTCAAACCTGTACAACCCGTACACACACACACACACACACACACAAAGCAGCTTCACAATTCATGTTTGGGGGCATGACTGTAATTTATTTTAAGCCTTCTTTACCTTCTTGTACCACTAAAGCACAAAAAAAACATGTTAATTACATGTTTGCTCAAAACTAGAATTACACAAGGAGGAAATGCATTGACCATTCACAAAACATAGCAAGGAAACTTACACCTACTCTCACACAAATGCATACTCAACCTCTGCCCACATTAGCAGCACCGCTGGCTGTAAACCTTCCCCTCATAAACAGCACTGGCTTTCTCACAGCAGCCTTACATGGCGCGAAATACAGAGGAAAGCGCGCACACTTCTGTAGGTTTGCACACTCTCTCTCTTTCTCTGAACTGCAGTGTTCAAAGACTCGTGTCAGCCGGAGAGAGATACAGCATCTGACAAATCGCTGGAACAGCCTTGCCCTGCGTTACCAACATGCCACCCGCACCAGGGAAAATATGTCACTGCCAATAAACACATCTAGAGCACGCGTATACACAAGGAGAGACTGTGGAACAAAGCTGCAAAGGTTGTTCCCATGTTGCACGCTTTAAAGTGTCATCAAACGAGCTCTGTGGGTGATCTGGGTTAGTATGCAGTGCGAATATACCTGTGAAATCTGTCAAAGCTCTCTTGGAATACTTGATTCTGATTGGTCAATCGTGACATTCAGAGGTCAGATATTTCTTAACATTTACCGTCGTTCATTTGCAACACAGAAACAACCGTAGACTGGCGCCATCTTGAGTCTCAGGTAAATGACCTTTTAAAGAGATAGTTCACCCATTTTTGTTATTTGCTCACCCTCATGTCGTTCCAGATCTGACAGTCTTTCTCTTTAATTAGTCACATTTACTGCTGCGCAGTAAAATTTTGCAGGCTAAATTGTAGTTCAATAAGAATCCACGTGATATCGAATTTTACAAAAAAAAAAGGTGCAGTCACGTTAATGAAATTTCTGTGAAATTTTGCACAAAAATGTCCATTATCGATAGTCAATAGTATGCACCACTCACAAATAAGTCATTTTCAAACCAAGCAGCTTTCTTTCGGTCAAAGTGGAAAATTAAACTAGCCTTTAGTTGAAACAACTGCGATATCTGCAAGGGGAAATCTTTTGCTCTCAAAAGGATTTCTGTTGCATGGATTGCTATTGTAATAAATTTTGCCAGAAAAAATAAAATAAAATAAAAATAATTACCGTACCTTGAGGGTGAAAGATTTTCCCATGCAGATTTATTAAAGGGTTAGTTCACCCAAAAATGAAAATTCTGTCATTAATTACTCACCCTCATGTCCTTTCAAACCGTAATTCAATTCAAGTTTATTTGTACAGCGCTTTTCACGATACAAATCATTGCAAAGCAACTTTACAGCAAATTAATTTTCTACAATATTTAGTGGTAGCTCATCCGTGGTGACTGTCAGTTAATGTACATATGGCAGAAATGTACGGAAAAATCAATTAAAGACGTAATCAAACAGACGATGAACACTATTAACAGCAATTATTATATGATTTTAGTAAGACCTCCGACTCTCCGTACCTCTGTAAGACCTCCGTTCATCTTCGGAACACAAATTAATATATTTTTGATGGAATCTGAGAGCTATCTGACCCTGCATAGACAGCAACGCACCTTAAATGTTCCCAAGTCCATAAACGTAGCAAGGAGATCTGTAAAATAATCCATGTGACATCAGTGGTTCATCCGCAATTATACGAAGCTACGAGAATACTTTTTGTGCGCAAAAGAAAACAAATAACGACTTTATTCAACAATTCGTCTCCTCCGCATCACCCTGTAAACAGCGTATGCTGTTCTGTGTCAGCTGCGTCACACGGATACGCCGTTTCCATTTAGATCAAATCACAACAACGTAGGAAACAGATCAGGCGTGACGCAGCCAGGGTTGGGCAAAGATACATCAAAATGTATTTTAAAATAAAATACCAAATACCTTAATTTTAAGTGTATCAAAATAAACTACAAAATACAGCAGCCACACCATGTATCAAAATAAACTACTGTATTTTAAAAATACTAAAAAATACTTTTACAAGGGAGCATGAAATTTCTTCACAAACCTTCCATCAATTGGCCTATTTGATCTCGTTTACATGCACACCAGTAAGCTGATAACTCACAAATATCAGCTTATTAAAATAACCAGCTTTCCCCGTTTACATGCACATCAGTAACCTGACAACGCAAGTAAGCTGCGTTTACATGACTTCATTAATAAATCAGCTAATTTCCCTGTAGTGACGTCAAAATATAATAATTCGCTGATCTGACTCAGAGTATTCCATACATTTGTCAGTTTTGATGTTAAATTAAGCTTGCAACATGTCAACTTGCAACATGTCGGGAAAC